AATAGTGATATGATGGGAAATGTGTGGTTGAAAAAGAAGAAAAAATTATTGATGTGATGGAAAATATTATTTTATTGAAGAATGTGTGGTTGAAAATGAGAATTGATTTACTGTAAAAAAATTTAATCCCTCCCAAACAGGGCCTTAATCTTCAAAAAGTTAGGTTAAATGGTTCGTATATTTCAAATTATTCGAGGGAAAAAGTTGCAATAAAAAATATTGTCCAAAAAATAAAATTTATAAAGAATTTCAAAAGGTGCAAAAACAGAAGCCGGATGAAAATCTACCCACTTTTTTTACAAGGGCTTTTTGATGTGTGTTTAAGCACCAAATTTCACTTGCAAAGTGTCCCAACACTTCAGATAAAAAATTGGGAAGTGCTACAAGTACATTAGGGGTGCCATAATGGTGTCCATAATGGACACATGGCACTCCACCATTGGAAAGTGTATTGGTGGGCCAACACACTCTTCAATGGTGGGGTGCCATGTGTCCATTATGGACACCATTATGGCACCCCTACTGTACAATAAGAATTATCCTAAAAAATTCTCTCCATCCGTACATGCACTACACTAAATCTAGTCGGGCCTAGCAAAAAATATCTCGAATATAAATTTCTTTTAACAAACGTCACATTTGGTAAAAAAATGATAATCTTTCTTCCTTTCTTCTTTTCTCGAGGTAGCTTGTGCTCCCGGTGCCACCTTGACACCTCCTCTCGTTCTGACATCTTCTTCCTCTTCCTACTAAGTTGTCCCATTGATTAATCTTTTACTTTTTTCACGTTGTCACACTCTCTTCTCTTCATTGCACCCCTCTTCTTCCCACCGTGCGGCTAGCAAAATTTGAGAGTTGGGGAGTTCGATTGTCATCCGGACAACTAGGGTCAAGTTGACCTAATCGGAATTGTTCTGAATCTTCAAGATTCTATTTAAATAAAATTCATAGACGGAGAAAACATGTGTTACTTGTTGATAATTAGCGGTATCTCTAATACATTACAAAGAAAATATAACTTCAATAACCATTTTNAATTTCAAAAGGTGCAAAAACAGAAGCCGGATGAAAATCTACCCACTTTTTTTTACAAGGGCTCTTTGATGTGTGTTTAAGCACCAAATTTCACTTGCAAAGTGTCCCAACACTTTAGATAAAAAATTCTCTCCATCCGTACACACATGACACGGAATCCAGCCAGGAATAGCCAAAAATATCTCGAATATAAATTTGTTTTTTAACAAACGTCATATTTGGTAAAAAAAAATGATAATCTTTCTTTCTTTCTTTTTTTCTCGAGGTAGTTTGTGCTCTATCTTTAATCTTGGACTAGTCCACGCTCTCACGTCCCGGTGCCACCTTGACACCTCCTCTCGTTCTGACATCTTCTTCCTCTTCCGACTAAGTTGTCCCATTGATTAATCTTTTACTTTTTTCACGTTGTCACACTCTCTTCTCTTCATTGCACCCCTCTTCTTCCCACCGTGCGGCTAGCAAAATTTGAGAGTTGAGGAGTTCGATTGTCATCCGGACAACTAGGGTCAAGTTGACCTGATTGGAATTGTTCTGCATCGTCAAGATTCTATTGAAATAATATTCATAGAAGGAAAAAAACATGTGTTACTTGTTGATAATTAGCGGTATCTCTAATACATTACAAACAAAATATAACTTCAATAACCATTTT